GCCAATTAAACAGTGCATTGAGGTCAGCTTGTAAGTTGGAGACATCCTGTAAGGACATTATTCCACTGCACAGCTTGGTGTCATCTGCAAAGACTGAAATTATATTTTTAATCCCAGACCCTATATCATTTAGAAAAATATTAAAAAGTAAGGGTCCCAACACTGAGCCTTGGGGAACACCACTGACAACCTTAGACCATTCAGAGTATGAATCATTAACCACTACTCTTTGAATACGATATTTTAGCCAGGTTTCTATCAATTTACATACAGATTTCTCAAGCCTGTAGACTTTACCTTATACATTAGCCATGTGTGGGGAACTGTATAAAATGCTTTTGCAAAATCCAAGTATACCACACCCACTCTGTGCAAGGTTTTGCTCACCTCCTCATAAAAAGAAATCAAATTTGTTTGATACAATAGTATAATAATACATAGTCCTCCTGCACTCAATGGAGTCCCTATACCAATCAAAGAGCAGCTAGCACTCAAACTGGTACCCAACAGTAATAATACAATCACATATAATCAATTAGTGCAGCGCTAGACATATAGGGGTTTATTTACTAAAGCTGGAGAGTCCAAAATCAGACTCCCTTCTGCATAGAAACCAATCAGCTTCTAACCTCAGCTTGTTCAATGAAGCTTTGGCAATGAAACCTGGAAGCTGATTGGTATCTATGCAGAAGTGAGTCTGATTTTGCACTCTCCAGCTTTTGTAAATAAACCCCATAATGTGAATAACATATATATGAAAAACTAGAGCCCACCTAGGAGGTGCTGTTAGGACTGCAGCAGTTGCTACTGGCATGCAGGGCTTCAACAAAATGGCCGCTGGCCATACAAGTCTGCAGACAGGTCTCCATAGCTGGGATAATTGAACTCACCACTATATAATGGGAAGCTGCACACCTATCGCGATATCCTGACGAAGTCACGTGACGGTGACGCAATGCGTCGATACGCGGTGATGCAGCATCCGGTTTGGCGGTGACGTACTTCTGGTATGGCCACCATCTTAGGACACCTTAGTGTACTTGGATACCCATGCAGTACACCCATACATCCCTATGAACTGTGGATTTGAACATTTGCATGTGAGTTGTTTATATATCTTATTAAATACTCATTTTGCAACTTATTACGCTATGAGAGATTCTTCCTATGCTTATGTCATCCGGGAGAGAGGTATATCGTGCTGAGACCAGGAGCCAGTGTATCCTGAATACCTACCGGATGGGAATCCTTTGGGAGATTGGCTGGTGATTTCTATCTATGGTGGATCAAGATCCTGAGTGATCTTAAAGGCATATAGGCCCTTTGGGCCATAGAGTGGAGGTGAGGGGGCAATTTTACCACAGGAGGAGAGTCACTTACCATCACTTGAAGCTATTATGTGATCACTTGCATTGCATCATATTGCTTGGAGTTGAACACCACGGCATAGTGTTATGAACTTTTTGTGATATCTAATTTACTCACATTCACATCAGTGAGTGGCACTGGGGGACACGTTTATTATTGAGATTTATTTCTCTAATTAATCACATTGTTTGGTCACCTTTTTTGCATGCATAGATGTGTGACATGTTACTATGATTATTTTTCATATATATGTTATTCACATTATATGTCTAGCGCTGCACTAAATGATTATATGAGATTTGTTTGATAACTTCTGTCTTTCATGATTCCATGCTGTCTGTTGCTTAAAATATTTATTTCAGCAATAACTCATCTATGTGGTCTTTTATTAAACTCTCCAGTATCTTCCCAACTATAGAAGTTAAACTAACAGGTCTATAATTACTTGGTAAAGATTTTTACCCCTTTTTAAATATGCGCACCACATTGGCCTTACGCCTATCCAGTGGTACTATGCCAGTCATTAAAGAGTCCCTAAGAATTAGAAACAATGACTTTGAAATTACAGAGCTCAATTAGTTAAGGACCCGTGGGTGGATGCCATCCAGTCCAGGTGCTTTATTCACCTTTATTCTGTCTAAATATTTTTGGATCACATCAATTATGAGCCAATGTGGATCATCTGGAGCTGTGTCAATACCATGCCCATTATGGACAAGAGCTCCCCCATGCTCCTTTGCATACTCAGAGGTGAAGAAGGCATTTAATAAATTTGATTTCTCTTTGTCCCCAGTCACCCACTTTAGATTAATTTTTTAAAGGGGAGTGTGTCGAAAGTCCAATGATTGATAGGTCAAACATCCCAGATCTCTAGATCTTTCAACTCCTGCAAAGGCATATTCCCCAGGTGTTTATCATAAATGTCTGTATATATCAATGCCCCTTGTGCACCCTGGTCAAGCAAAGACTTCATATAGATACTTTCAACCTTTACAAGCATTATAGGTGAAGAGTTTTCTGGTTTATCTAAGAACTTGCTTGAAGAAACTGGGGCCAAAGATACAGTTGTGTGGGCTACAACTCACCTCTTAGCTTGGTGATACTATCTTCATTGCCCTGATGGCTTTTTAGGTGGTCAGTGTGCATTGTTTCACCACAAAGGAAACCCAGGGACAATGAGGGTAATTCTGTTTTGGCAGTCTCTCTGAAGCATCAGGTAGGCCCTGGGTAAGTATTTTGGCCTCTCCTCATCCCTATTTTCCTTTCCGAAAATGGAGCAAGGTGCGATAGTCAGAAACCCAGTTGGCTCTTTCACCAAGTTTCCTGCTGGCATCTGATGCTGACTCTGCACAGTGTGTCAGTAATGGCTCACACCTCTACCATTATAGAAGATTTTTTTGATCTGTCAGCCATTCAGCAGGAACAGCCTGAAGACATGCAAAGTTTTGTTAGTAATGGCCCACACCTCCACAATTATAACAGATTTTTGACCTGTCAACCGTTCAGCAGGACCAACCAGACGGGTTGCTTGTTAAGCTGGTCCAGGTGGTGGTATAACCCTGGTTGTCAGCAAAGACATAATTTTCATTATTTGTGTAATTTGAGCCTTTAGAAGATCTATCTTAGAATTGCTGTTAGTTTCGTTAGTCATTCTAACGCCAGCAATCAGCTCTGACCCTTTGTCATCTAATATGGCCTCCTCTTTTCACACTGTTTTTATTGCCTCATGTATTGCAGGTTTTCACCATCTCCTTGAGTTTTCTGTTGAAGCATGGTAGGATCTAGGGACTGAGATTCCCTTAAGACCTGTCCCACTTGGACTTCATCAACCATTTTGGGATCCATGCTGTTTTTTAGTAAAAGCTGGTGCAGTCTCTTGTCAAAGCATCTCATTTGTTCAGACAAATTTCCCCCTGAAGCTTTTTTTGGGTCTCCAGAATGTCCTATATATCCAGTGCCTGCATGGCCTGCTTCCTCTTTTCTTCAAAGCCTTCAGGCATGGGCTGGCTTCCAGAAAAGATGATCAATCCCCAGTAACCAGACCCAGCATAGGGAGGGCTGCTGTTTTCGCACTTTATTGCAAAATCTTCCAGAGCTGCGAGAATGTCAGGCCCTATCATCATCAAGAGCACTAGTACCTTCTGTTAGCGCTGCTTGGCTATAATTCTCAGGATTGCTGGTTGACATTCTTAGTTGAATTAGATGAGCTTCAACATTATTGGTCAGTTGCAGGCTAGCTCCCTGGAAACCAGTCGGGAGGCCTATCTTCCACACTAACAATGTGTACAAATGGACAATGCAGGAAGTAGACTGATCTGCTGTTGTGTTCAACATGGACACTCTGCTGTCAGATTCCAGGAATGTCCATGAATATACTCAGCTCTTAAGGTCATTTTGTCCTGGCACCACTTGTCAGAATTGGTACCATGTTGCCTCCTGGCTCACTAATGCATGTCATCCCTCTGCAAACATAGGAATATAAGAAGATATGCTCAGTGAGCACCCATGTAACTCTACCCTGGAGGAGCTGCTTGTTGTATTGGATTTCTCTGTTCTCAAGAGGATGACTTGATTTGATAGCTCATGTACTCATGATTTACCTGGGTCTGTGTTAGAAATTCTGTATACACACCTACAGAACAGACTTTTCTGCTTTACTGTATTAAGGAAGCAGGAAACTTTCTTCAGTGAAAAGACATAGTGTATACAGTACAATAGATACAGCTACAAACTTATAAACACTGCAGTCTACTGGTTGAAGAATACATCTCTACTAAATACTGATGTAATTGTTGCATAAAATACATGAACAATGTATTCCAACATCACCGCTCAATGACTACTCCTTATATTAGTCGCATTTCAGATCTCAGTTCTACAAATCTGTTTCTTGTAAGTGGTTTTGTCAAAGCATCTGATCAACTTTTGTTTCTTATGGGTTGGAAGTCTTTGCATCTCATCCTTTGACTGTAGCCCTGATTTTAACCACTTGCCTACTGGGCACTTATAACCCCTTCATGCCCAGGCCAATTTTCAACTTTTAGCACTGTCACACTTTGAATGACAATTGCGCGGTCATGCAACACTGTACCCATATGACATTTTTATCATTTTTTTCACACAAACAGAGCTTTCTTTTGGTGGTATATAATCGACACTGGGTTTGTAATTTTTTGCACTATAAACAAAAAGAAAACAAAAACTTTCTATTATAAAATTTTGCAAACAGATAATTTTTCTCCTTTACTGATATGCGTTAAATGGGGCAGCACAGATGGGCACTGATAGGCAGTACTGATGGACACTGATGAGGTGGCATGGATAGGCTGCACTGATGAGGTGGCACTGGTGGGCATTGATGAGGAGGCACTGATGATGCTGCACTTATATGCAGCAATGATGGTCACTGATAGGTGGCACTGAAGGGCACTGATGGGCGATACTGATGAACGGCATTGATGGGCGCAACTGCTAGGCAGCACTGATGGGTGGCACTGCTGAGGGGGCACTGCTGGGGGGCACTGCTGGGCACTAATGATCAGGGCACTGATCATCAGTGCCCAGATGATCAGTGCCGATCTGCTCTGTGACAGCGTGAGGAAAGTGCTGCCGATAACCGGCAACTGTATTTACTTTGTGATCTGCTGTGTCATTGGACACAGCTGATCACGTGTTAAAGGCTGCTGTGATTGTCATTTTACCTCATCATGTGATGAGCTGTGTCCATAGGACACAGTGACCACAGAGGTTGCTGGGTGCGTGCTGCTGGGGGCACGCGGGAGGGTGCGTTCTGGGAGGACATCATATGATGCCCTCCCAGAACTGGATAACCGTGCTGTAGCTGTCATTCGGATATAGCATGGTTACTAAGTGGTTAATGCTATGCGAGCAACATAGGACAGACTTTGGCTGGGATGCCTTTATTGCTTCTGGTGGATTTCCTGATTGAAGCCCCTTGTGGCCTGGTTTCTTCTTTTACAGTATTTGGATTGTCTGTTAACTTCTATTTCTGTGTGACTTTGTTGCTTATCTTCATGTGACACTAGTGTGGAATTTCCCTAAGTTTGAAGTGTTTGAGTTAGTTCATGAAATTTTGAACACACTGAAGTTTCATCGACAATTACACTTCTACTGATGGTTAATTTGTTTGTGTCTTGTTGTAGAATTCTGTATCCCTTTTCAGATTCACTGTACCCCACAAGTACATCTTCCTCTGCATGAGAATTACATTTTGTACGTTTTTCTTTCGGGATGTGCACATAGCCTTTGCTTCCAGAAATGTTTAGATGGTTCAAATTCGGGGCCTTTCCATTCCATAGTTCATTTGGAGTTTTCTCAGTTGAATTTCCTGGTAGTCGATTTTGGAGATAGCAAGCGGTCATAATTGCCTCCCCCCCTCCCCCCACAGTTGGCATATCTGCATCAAACAGTAAGGTTCCACCACTCTCACATAGAGTACAGTCCATTCTTTCTGCAACCCTGTTTTGTTCTGGGTTGTATGGTGCAGTAGTTTTAAATATTATACCATGCTTTTTGAGAATCGCCTGTGTGTTATCACCTGTATATTTGGTTCCATTGTCTGTGCACAATACACTCGGCCTTTTGCCAAATTTGTTGCTTACTTGAGCCAAATGCTGTTCACGTTTCTGTGATACTTCACTTTTGTTATGTAACAATTTGAATTAATTAAGTCCAGATATTTTTTAGTGCTGCTGTTACTCTGCTTTGGAAAGGCTTTTCTTGTCATTTTTCCTTTTTTCTACAGCTGGTGCATTTCATTGTCTGATCACATGGATCATTTTTATTTTGTCTGATCATTTTTATTCTACTTGCATAGTCATTTTCAGTTAATATCTTTATTATGCCAAGACTTCTGTGCCCAAGTCATTTGTGCCATGTGTGAATGCAGTTTATATGTTTTTCCTCCTTGACCACCTCATTGCAGTTCAGCAGATACAGTTCATCTGTAATTTGTGCCTTTATAAAGAAAGATATTCTTTTGTGATGTTACCTTGGAAGCAGGGGCGGACTGACCATTTGGAAACTCGGGCACTGGGTCAGTAGGGGGCCTCATGAGATGCTCCTGGTACCTTTTTCATAGGCTTTTTTAAGTTTGGGCAAGGACACAGGGGCCCCATGATCTCCTATTGCCCGGGGGCCCCATGAGTTGTCAGTCCGCCCCTGCTTGGAAGATCATTATTTTGACTTGTTTTGTGAGCTTCTTCACTGACAAAAGATTAGTTTCAAGAGCAGGGACATACAGGACATTTTTCACGGTATCTTTCTGGTGATACTCTGGGAAATAGGACAGTCAGGAGAACTGTCTCCTATTATTTCTGATTCCATTATTTGCCCAATAACTGTTGTGATTTTTTTTCTGTTTTACTCTGGTCAAGGTGAATAAAGAAATTTCTGTCATTTGTCTTGTGACTTGTTGCTTCTGAATCAACACACCATACCTGCTAAGATTAGATGCAACCTTTGGACTGAAAAACATATTCATTATACAGTATAGAGAAAAATCAGTTTCTTCCTTCACGCTTTTGGCCTTTTGTAGTTTGGTTTGTTTTTGCATTCTAGCTTTCCAGAGTCTGCAATCAGCTTTTAAATGGCATTGTTTCTTGCACACAAAGCATTCACGTGTTTCTTGTTGCATGTTACTGTTTTTATAACTATTTTTCATCTTTAAAGCAGACTTTGTGACTGAAGCACCATCACTATTAATGCTTTCGTTTTTACGTCTATATTCATCCACAAGCTTGCCTTTAACATATTCCGCTGTCAATTCATCATCTGGATGTGCATCAAGTGCTGTGAAAAGCATTTCATACCTTTTTGGGAAAGCGCTAATAGTGCTACGACATGAAAATCTTTTATTATGTCCCCTTTACCTCTCAAGCGTTCAACCATTTAAAAGGTGTGTCTTATGTATTCCTTTATATTCTGGCCTTTCATCAGCTTAGTTTGGTATAGCTTTCTAAAATAATACAGTTTATTACTGAGATTAGCTCTTTCATGCACCTTTTGTAATCCTTCCCACATTTCTTTAGCAGTTTCACACTTACACTTACTTATACAGTATATGTGGTTTGATCATCTTCTATGCTAAGAGAGATTTTGCTCTGATCTTTCTGATCTTTCTCTATCCACTCACCTGAAAGGCGTTCTGACCTGACATCATCAGCTGTGTTACTGGCCATTTTATTTTATTCTGTGGCAGTCTTCTTTCTGTGGCTGTATCTTGCACTTATTTGCTGTAGCAGGCTATGCCTGGGACCTTAACAGACTGTGCACAGTCCACATGTGCTTTTCTGCTTCACTGCAAGAAGGAAACAGGAAACTTTTTTCAATGAAAAGACATAGAATATACAGTACCATAGATGCAGCTATAAACTTATAAACACTGCCATGTACTGGCCGAATAATATATATCTATTGAATAGTTGTTGCACAAAATACATGAACAATGTATTCAGGGGCAGACTGACCATTTGGAAACTCGGGCACTACCGAGGGCCGGGGTCGGTAGTGGGCCCCATGAGATGCCCCTGGTACTCTTTTCATAGGCTTTTTTTGAGTTTGGGAAAGGACACAGGGGCCCCATGATCCCCTATTGCCCGGGGGCCCCATGAGTTGTCAGTCTGCCCCTGAATGTATTCCAACAGTTTGAGATCAAATTTATTGGTCAAACATGGTCATGGTCAGACCAGAAAACACTTTCAAATTTTCAATGATGAACAGTATTGCTCTCTGTAATAGATAACCATCATGCTGAGCATCTTAAGAGCACTCTTTCCAACTGTACAGATTTGTAATCTTATCGTAAATGTTCTTTCCCTGAGGGCAGAATCCAGTGATAGGAAAAAGATTAGAAACCTGAGCAAATAAAGCACAGACTTGGTTGCTCAACAGGCGTCTCACTTGGAGTCCTGGTTGATCTCTCAAAGCCCCAGCAAAGGATTAAACCTCACATCCTAAGCTCTCCTTCCTTAGGCCAGTGGGGAATTATCTGTGATTATCTGTGAAAGGCTGTGGTTATCTGCCTTCTTGGAATCTCAGAAGACAGTCCTTCTCTATCTTTACTGGTAGTCTGGAACAGCAGCTTAAGTAACCTGGAACAGCTGGTCTATGGTATGGCAGCCAGAAACAGCTGAAGCCATGATTAGAGAACAACTGATCTCTGGATCCACGCACAGCCATTGATCCTCTCAAACTAATAAATTGAGACTATACAGTGCTTGGAGGATGTTGCTCAGCATGTGCAGAATACATATTTATACAGGGCAGCTAATTTGTTAGCACTTTGTGCCTGGCAGTACTAGGGTCACTGGTTCGAATCCCAGCCATGGCACTACCTGCCTGGAGTTTGCATGTTCTCTTTGTCCTTGCATGTGTTTCTTCTGGGTACTCCAGTTACCTCCCACACTCCAAGACATGCTGGTAAGTTAATTGGCCCCTGTTTAAATTGGCCCTAGTATGTGTTTGTATGAATGTGAGTTGAGGACCTTAGATTCTACGCCCCTTGAGGTCTAGGGACTGATGTGAATGTACAATATATATGTAAAGTGTTGCATAAATTGACAGCGCTATATAAATACCCTCAATAAATAAAATAAATAAATACTAACAGTTAGCAAACTCTGTTATCTGTCTTCAAGAGTACTCACAAACAATAATGGCTCTCTATCCTCTGGATGAGGCAGCAACTCTGTTCCAGATGCAGCCATGTGGTCCTGTGTTGCTGGGCAGTGTTGTTTTTCTCCCCCTCTCCAGCTACAAACTTGGCAGCTTCTTGTGTCTCTCCTCCTGGTCAGTTGCTAAGGGTGGGCTTGCTGTGTAATGCTGTGGTGATGGCCAGTCCAAGTCTTTTCTGTGTTTGATATTAAAAAACATGCTTGGGGACACTTTCTCTTTGAACAGTGTTCACACATGTAGTGAGGGAAAAATACACTGCAACCAAGGAGGAAGTTTCTGTACAATATATTACAACAACACAAATCCCCAAATTTTCCACTTCTTAATAAGTGATTGAACAGTACTGACTGGCATAGTAAAGTATTTGGATATCTTTTTACATCCTTTTTCATCTTTATAACTTTTCATTACCTTTATATGCAGGTCTTTTGGCGGTTCTTTTCTGATCCCCATGGCTCAGTATCTAGCCTGTTCAGTGCATCCACGTGAAAGCTAACAAACTCATTGATTATTTATACACAAACACTGATTGCAATTGAAAAAGCCACAGATGTGGGAAATTAACCTTTAATTGCCATTTTAATCTGTGTGTCACCTTGTGTGTCTGTACCGAGGCCAAACATTCCGGGGTATGTAAACTTTTGATTATGGCCATTTGGGTAATTTCTGGTTTTCATTTTGATTTAAAAAGGAGCCAAACAACTATGTGATAATAAATGACTTCATATGATCACTATCCTTGAATAAAAGACTTTTTTTTTGGCATAATCAGTTATATTTTCAATATCAATGCCAAAATTTCACAATTTCGGCCAGGGTTTTCAAACCTTTGAGCACAACTGTACATATATTTAGCAGGAAAAAAACATGTATTTGTGTGCCTATTGTAAAAAAGGAAAAGAAAAAGGTCTCTTCCCCTGCAATACTTATACTTACCTCTCCGACAGCTTGTGTATCCTACCTAACCTCTGTAAGACCCTTCAGCATTCGATACTTCTGTGGGGGCAGATGTCCATTTTCCCCATCAAGTGTTGTGGTTCCATTCTACAACCCCTATATCACTACTGAGTCCTGTAATGGTGTAGGGAGTGGACGTTGGAACCATGGCACACAGTGGGGCACATAGGCAGCTGACACTTTCAGTTTGTCCAGTGCTGACGAGTCTTACAGAGGCTGTTGTACCAAAATGAAGGGAAGGTAAGAGACATGCCAGATAGGTGAGTATAAGTGCTATTCTATTGCAGGAGATTGCATTATGTTTTTTTTTTTAACAAACTGACAGGGTCTCTTTAAAGTTGATCCCAACCCAAAAACCATTTAGCCATTGTGATGAAAAAAATGCTAATTTTGGTCTTTTTTTTTTTTTTCGTTATGATAAAGTTTTACATTCACCTACAATGTTTAAATAATTTAGGTTTCAGCTTTTGAAATATAAAACATCTTTCTAATAAATAGAAAGACCAACTGATTTTTTTTTACTGCATTTAATTTTGTTGGGTGGACAAGCAGAGATTGACAGTCATTTCCTCCTGCGATGATTAGTGTATGTATGTGCAAATGGCTAGATTTAACGCTTGTATCATGGTGAAGACAGAAAGTGGAGAAATCTAACTAATTTCAGTCTGCTTTGTTTTCCTGTGTTTTCCCCAATTTCTCTTTATGGGGGATACTGGAGATTCGTTGCCAGATGTGCAAGCATTTTAATCCCTGCACATCTGGAGAGGCCACTATTGTTCTGCAACAAATTGCAGTCTCTGCAGATGTAACAGGGCTAAGGTGGTAGCTCAGTGGTTCCGTTACACAGTTGTCCAACATGTGGGAATACAAGTTGATCTGCTGCAGAGCTGACACACTGGTACAAGGACCTTGCCCTTCAATTACACGAGTCTGGTTAGTGTTACTTGGTAGTGCAGCGGGAATAACAGAGGTCTATCATGTAATGGATAATGTCAGTAGTTTTAGAAACAAGGAAATGTTTTGTTCAGAAAAAAAAACTATTTACATTGTTTACATTAAATGAAAAGTTATGGTGATTGCTTTAAAAAAAAAAAAAAAAAATCTATTAATTTATTTTGTTATATATGTCTTAAATCATATTGCATATTAAAGTAGAGCTTGGGATAAAACATAATAAAGTAGAACTCCAGGTACAACTTTACTTTCCTATTTTTGGATTTACTGGCAGATTTTATTAATGTTTGAGACCTCATTGCGGAGATTTTCCTTTATTATCTGATATAGAGACCATTATCACTGAAACAGAAAGTGAGGGGGAAATTGTATTATTAATATTATACAGGATTTATTTATTTATTCAATAAAATTTGCCACACTATTGGCGGCTTGGCGCCTGTCTCCCCATCCCTTTTCTCTTTTGTAGTACATGGGTTTCCAGCTCGCTCAGAAGGCAGCCTTCCTCAGCCAGCAGTGTTAGCAACAAACTAATTAATTACAATATTTATATATATATATATATATATATATATCTCTTTCATGTGTATATTTTAAATGTATATGCCATTACAAACAAATTGTTGATGGTTGTGTTACCTATATGCAGTTTTGTAGATGCACATGCTGATGATGATGATTTCCAATTATTGTAAGTCCCCCATACACTATCCATTCAAGATTGCATAAGATTGCATGAGATCTAACAAGTACAATGCAGAGTGTTGGTGTTTTCTCTTGTATGTTTATATAGCACCAAACGTTTGCACAGCATTTTACAACATAAAGGCAGGCAGTACAGTTACAATACAATTCAATACAAAAGGAATCAGAGGGCTCTGCTCATTAGATCTTACAATCTAAGAAGGAGGGTCAAGAGATACCAAAGGTAATAACTGTGGGGGATGAGCTGATGGAAAAACTAAAATTACAGTTATTAGGCAGAGGCAGGATACGCTTCTCTGAAGAGAAGGTTTTCATGGCTCAGCTAAAAGTGGACAGAGTAGGAGTTCCATAGGATCGGAGAGGCTCAGGAAAAGTCCTTGAGGCGAGCATGTGCGGAGTGACAAGGGAACTAGAGAGCTATAGGTCTTGGAAGGAACAAAGAAAATAATTAGGTTGGAATTTATAGACTAGGCTAGTGATGTAGCTGACTGCAGAGTTGTGGATGGCTTTTTATTTGTTGTTAGTATTTATAATTTAAGGTAAAGTGGATGAGTCTGGCAGCATTCATGATGTACTGAAGGGGGACAGTCTATGTAAAGGTAAGCCAATGAGGAGGGAGTTGCAGTAGTCCGGTCAAGAGATGACTGGGGAGCAAATTAGAAGCTTTGTGGTATCATTGGTTAGGATGGGGCATATTTTGGAGATGTTCTGTAGGTTGGACAGCGATTGGATGTGGGGCCAAATGGAGAGTTCAGAGTCCAGGATAACACCTACTACCTTGCCATGCGAGGACAGGTTGATAGGTGTGCCATTAATCTTGGCAGGGAAGTCAGGGGAAGGGGCACATGGGGGATGAAATATTGTAGGCTTGTTTTTTGACAGATTGAGTTTGAGGAAGTGGTGTGACATCCAGATTGATATAGCTGTTAGTAAATTAGTACATTTTATGGTTGGAATTAGAATTATTTTTGATTGGGGGCATCAATTTTTCAAGGTGCTTTCTATTCACAATGGATGGAAATTTTCTCAATAAAGACACCAGTAGCAAATAAAACGTAGTAACACTCCCATTCTATTGAAAATAAAAAGAAAGGTTAAATTGGCACAGTGGTACTTTTTACTCTGAAGTTATATCAGCCAGTTCTAAAGTCTAAACTGCCATACGCAATCTGATATTTGCAATCAGTGTAACAAATCTGAGCTTGCATTTTTTTTTCATAAAGTTTATTAACCTCCCTGGCGGTATTCTCGAGTGTAGCTCGGGGTAAAATTTCAGTAGCTACACTCAGGCTTACCATGCGGCGTTGCTCAGGGATTCC